CCCTTGTCATTGTCCAGCTCTCTGATGCATACATAGCAAGTGATTGTGAAAACCATGGCCTGGATCAGGCACATCTTAGTCTCCAGACTGACATAATTGCTCTTCTGTACTCTAGAGATGTACCCGACAGCAGATTTTCCCAATGCAATTTGTCTTTTAATTTCCTCACTGCTGTTACCAAAGATGTTGATTGTACAGTCAAGCAAACTAAAGCTGTTAACAAATCTCAAACTCTTCACCATCTATCATGATGCTGCCAATCAGCCCAGTGGTGAGAATCTTTGTTTTCTTGATGCTGAGCTTCAGTCCATATTTAAGGCTACAGTCCTCGACTTTCTGCAGCAGTTGCTTCAGGTCCTCCTCAGTTTCAGCAGACAAGGTTGTGTCATCTCCATAACTTAGGTTGTTGATGAGTCTTCCTCCAGTCCTGATGCCACAATCCTCCTCATAGAGCCCAGCCTCTCAGATGATCTGTTCCTCATATAGCTTGAAAAATGGAGATAGGACACATCACTGGCATACAAATCAGTAGTCAGAAAACATGGACTCAGTGACAGAAATTATGCTGGAGACAGAATGATAGAATTCTGTACAATCAATGACCTACTCATTGCATATACTTATAAGAAACATAAATGCAGACTATACACATAGATTTCACTTGATGGTACGCATGGGAATCAGATCGACTACATCTGTGGGCAGAATCGCTGGAGAAGCTTGATAACAGCTGTGAAAACTAAGCTGGGTGCTCATTGTGGAACAGACCACAAACTACTCACATGCAAGTTTCAGCTGAAGCTAAAGAGGTTAAATTACATCCACAGGAACCAAAATTTGACCTTAAGTCTATCCCACTCAAATTTTGAAACTATTTCAGGAACAGATTTGAGATCTTGAATACAAATGAGCAAAGGCCAAAGGAGGAAGACCAAGAAGAATGTCAGAAGAGACTCATAATACTGCACTAGAGCACTGAGAAGCCAAAGCAAAAGAAAGAAATTAAGGAACTGAGCATTAACAACTTTAAAAGGTTCTGTTTGTTTATATTCTGTAGCAGAGACTAAGGGAGCTTTGGTGGCCTACCCTGGTAGGGAGCTGCAATGCTAACCTAAAGGCCACCATTCTCTGGAAATTTGAATCCACAAGGGGCTTTATAGGAGAAATAAGGGTAATTGTCTACTCCTGTGTGATTTATAACCTGCAAAACCCAAATGGAAGGTTATCTATGAGTCAATTTCCACTCATTAGCAATAAGGAGGGAGAAAAGGAGTAAGTTTCTTGGGAGGGTCTTAAAAATGCTATTTCCCCAAGTAAATAGGTACACACTGTGCTAAAACAGCACCTGAAATCCTTAGTGATGTACAAACTTTTCTTGTGGTGAGGTCATAGACCCCTCAATATCCAAAACAGAAGTGTCATTTATCTTTGTGCTATGCTGTTAAACTCACTCACTTCTGTCCAGCCAGAATTAACTCATAGCTGAGACCCCTGAACTCCCCACAGGTTTTCTCAGGCTGTAAATCTCATGGGACATTGTTCATCTTTTTGTGGACCAGCTGGCATATTTAAACTGCCAGATGTATAACCTTTGGGGTACGGACTGTTGTTGTTAGAAGCTGTCAAGTACTACTCATAGTGACCCTATGAACAAAAGATCTAAAGCTGTTCTATCCTGTACCATCCTCACAATCTCTATACACTAAAGTCCACTGCTGCAGTCACTGTGTCAACCCACCTGCTGCCCCTCCACCATTCCAAGCATGATGTCCCTCTCCAAGGAATAGTCCCTTCAGCAACATACCCGACGTATGTGAGGCGAAGTCTCATCATTCCTTCCTCCAAAGTGCACTCCGGCTGCAACTTCTCCAAGACATATCTGTTTGTTCTCTTGGCCATCCATGGGATGTTCAGTCCTCTTCTCCAACACCACAGCTCAAAGGCATCAATATTTTTCTGTCCTCCTTACACACTGTCTAGCTCTCTCAGGCGTATAGCATGTGATTAAAAAGACTGTGATATGAATCAGATGCACCTTATTCCTCAAACTGACATCCGTATTCCTCCATAATTTGGAGAGGTCTCTAACTGCAGCTTTTCCCAGTGCAATGCATCTCTTTATTTCCTGACAGCTGGTACCAACGGTGTTAATTGTGGATCCTAGCAAGATGAAACTGCTGACAGTTTCAATCTCCTTTCCATAAATCATGACACTGCCTATAAGTCCAGAGGTAAGAATCTTTGTTTACTTGACATTGAGAAGCAATCCATACTGAAGGCTGCATTCCTTGATCCTCTGCAACAAGTGCTTCAAGTACGTCTTATTTTCAGCAAGCAAAGTTGTGTCTTTACAACGCAGGTTATTGATGAGTTTCCCTCCAGTCCTGATGCCACACTCTTTATAGTCCAACTTCTCAGATAATTTGCTAAGCATACAGAGTGAATAGGTATGGAGTAGGCCATCACAAAACTCAAAGGCATTGCCTTTGGAGTCTGAACCAACTAATACCTGATCCTCCAGCGGCTTTTCAGAGACTGTAAACAGCATGGGAGCATCTTCCACCTATGGAGCTATTGGTAGATTCCAAATGCCACTGACTAGACCACATTAGCTCTAATAGTAGGAAAGTGTTTGATATTGTGAATTATTACTATTGACATATTAGGGAGTTCTGGTGGCCCAGTGGCAAGAAGCTGTGCTGCTGCAATACCAAAGGCAAGCAATTCAAGGCCGCCAGCTGCTCCACGGGAGAAGGATGGGCAGTCTTCTCCGGTGTGATTGATTAACCCGATGGAGGGTCACCTAAGGGTCGGTTTCTACTCTCCAGTACTCAACAACAATGGCATATTAGTTTATTATCAACATATTAGAGAGTTCTGGTAGGCTAATGGTTAAGAAACTGCACTGCAATCCGAAAGGCACGTTGCTCGAATCCATCAGATACTCTGTAGGATAAAGACAGTCTCCTCCCATTAGATTTATTGCTTCTGAAAACCCACTGGCGGGTCAGCTATGGGTCGGTTCCGACTCCACGGCACACACTATTTATGGCATATTAACAATCTATTTCAACTGTTGCCGTGTGCCTTTGAGTTGGAACTGACCCGTAGCTAACCCTCCAACGGGCTCTCAGAGGCACTATAAAGCATAGAATGTTTTAAGCCTTGTTTTTGAGTTGTGTGTCATCGAGTTGGAACAAACCCATAGTGACCCTCCAGCAGATTTTCAGAGGCAGTTCATCGCCTGTGGGAAAAGACTGCCCATTGTTCTTCTTCAGGACAACTGGCAGATTCTAACCGTGTATCTTTGGATTGGGACCGCAATTCCTTAACCACTAAGCCACCAGAGTGCCATTTTAGTCTTAAGGCATGAATAAAAAGATATTAACCAAAAAAAGCAGATGCACTCCCTTCCACCTTTTGATATAAACCTGGCCAAGTTGAGTCCGCTAGGGGAAGGAGGGCCCGATATGAGGAAATAACCAGGGCTTTTGAAACATTTTTTTTTTCCAACTAAAGCACTGTACCCGGCCCTCAGGCCTTGGAGATTGCCATGGCGGGGGTCAAAGGGGTTGACTTGACCCCTAGCTGCAGGCCAGCTCGCGCTAAGCTGGTCGCCCCGCCTTGAGGCTCTACCAGCCAGAATCGTTCTCATGTAGGCTGCCACGAGCCGCCAGTGCCGCCTCCGCCCAACAGTTGCGTCTCCCCATCGATGCTTCGCGTCCACACGCGGACCTGCAGTTCCCGCCGATTCAGACGAAGACCTAGAAAATGGCTTCGGTGCGTAAGCCATATACTGGCCGTTATCTAAAGCAAAACTGACACCTCAAAAGCGGTGACCAACTGAAACAAGCAGAGCCCACTGAGCAGCCACGAGCGACTGCGCGGGCGCACGCAGCGAGGGGGCGGTCCCGGCCCGGCGGCGGGCGGGGAGTAACGTCGCGGAGCGCGGCCGCGCGTGCGCCCTGCCGCCTGCAGCTCCCAGTTAAATGTATCGGCGCACCTCCAGGGGCTGCGCCTGCGCGGATCATAGTCAGGCCCTGTCTGCTCTGCACTTTTCTGCTTGCACGTGCTGCTTACTGAAAGGTAAATGATACGACGACTGATGCTTATTAAATATCTTACTGTTGGCTCAAATATTTCATAATACGAGCTAGAGAGTCTTTGAAGACCTGTGGCTGCCCAACCTTCAGGCTGGATTCTAGTTTTTGGTGATGTAGCAAAAAAAAAAATAGTTTGCCATACAAAATTCCAATTCATTGCCGTTGAGTTAAAACTGACTCTCCAGCCGGACTTCAGGAGGCAATAAATTGCACAAGAGGGGATTGTCTTTCTCCCACGGAACTTCAGGGGGATTCGAATCGCCAGAAGGAGAATCCCTTTGAGTTAGCAGTCTAGTCTAGGCCACCAGGGCTCCCATAGTACGCGAGGTTGTTGTTTACCTTGGAGACAGAACCGACCCATAACTCCAGCAGGCTTTCAGAGGCAATAAATTGCAAGAAAGGAGATTAACACCCCCCCCCCCCGGAGCAGCTGGTTGATTTGAACCCTGTACTTTTGGGTTGTCAGCACAACTCTTTTTACCTGTAGGCCTCTGTTGTTATGCACCATCTAGTCGCAACGGACCCATAGCTGAGCCTTCAGCGGGTTTTCAGAAGCAGTTAATCACATAAGAGACTGGCCAGCTTTCAGGAAGCAAGATGGTGTCTTCGAACCACAAGTCTTTGAAATTGCAGCAGCTCAGCTCCTTAGCACCAGGCCACCAGACTCTAAGCTCTCTAAAGTATGCAATAGAAAAGAGACTTAATATGTACAGAGAGAGAAAGTTGAATTCTCGCCTAGGCAGCCATTTCTTTTCTTCGGGGTCTTCCCTGCTTTATGAAACCTAATATTTTGTATTTACAGTGGAGGAAATACAGTCTATTATATAAAAGTATTCTCTACTATTACAGAGCTTAGAGGATACCTGTGGTTTTGTTTCCAACGTGATTTACTTCCTAATGGGTGAAAACAGCATAGAGGTAATACCATAGTTCTTACTGCTTTTATGACTCTCACAGAGTTAGCCTGTGATCCTTATACCTGGTAATTCCAAGCAAAATCCTAGCATTTCTTGATGTTCTGTTTAGCTAAACAAGGACAAACATAGATGAAATAGCCACATTTGCTGTGTATCAAGAATTAAGGATTTTTTTAGCAGCGATTACTGCATAAGTAGCAAAATGCACTTTAAAAATTCAGTATTAGTGGACAGATGGGTCCCTTGAGGATCTTGTGAAACTGCAGGTTCAGAGGCTGTAACTCTTTAGGGGAGAAGTCTGCCCATCTACTCCACTAGAGTCCATGTGGCTAAGAGGTTTTCTGATTGTTTTATTGAATACATCCCTTAGTGATTTTCTCATCACCTGGAACTAAGCCATAAGCATAATGCCAGAGTCTCATTTATTAAAAGGTGTGAGAGGAGACTTAGGCAAAGTGTAGTTGAACTGTGGAGAAGCTGAAGTGTTATCAATTGGTAACTCATTTATATGGTAGCAAGGTGATGGAGGGTCAAGTTGGTCTCCAAAGTGTGGAGACCAAGCCGCTGATTTCTTATTTTAATTCCTGAAGAACTGTATACATTATAACTGCTTTCTTTATTTCTTTTTGTTTGTATACTTTCAGTGTAAAAGCATGGTTGATGAGAATTTTGAAGACTCTCCCAATGCAGTGATTAAGTTTAGTCCTCCTTTATACAGACAGCGCTACCAGTTTGTTAAAGATTTAGTAGTTCAGCATGAACCCAAGAAGGTATATTTTACTTCCTGAACTTTTGTCTGTTTAATGAAATGTTTCAAATGTGAAGGAAATTTATGTTGTAGATTAGACATCACATGCTGTATTTGTTTCCTAGGGCAGCTGTAACAGTATACTATAAACGTTGGTTATAAGAACAGAAATCTATTGTCTTACAGTTTTGAAAGCTAGAAATCCTAATCAAGAGTAAGCCGGGCCACACACTCTCGAAAGTTTTTAGGGAAGATCTGTTTGAATTGCCTGTTTGCTAGCCAAACTTATTGCTGTCAAGTCAGAATCAACTCAGACCTGACCCTCCAGCAGGTTTTCAGAGGCTATAAATCACATGGGAGGAACTTGCCTTTCTTTCTCCCAAGGCGAAGCTGGTGGATTCAAACCACTTGTTTTGGGGTTGACAGTACAACTCCTTACCTACTAGGTATAGAGCTCCCTGACCTGCTAGTAGCCCCAGATTTTCCTTTGGCTATAGCTTTATTTTTGCATGCTGTGCTTCTTCCCCTATAAAAGACATCATTAAGATAGAATTAGAACCTACCCTTGCTCCATTGTGACCTTAATTGATAACATCTTGGTTATCTAGTGTGGCTGTAATAGAAATACCACAATTGGATAACTTTAACAAAAAATATCTTTTCTCACAGTTTGTTGTGGTGGTTTTGTACCCAAAGTTAGAATTGACCCATAGCTAAGCCTGCAGTGGATTTTTGGAGGTGGTTAATTGCACAGGGGAAGCTTGCTCATCTTTTCTCTTGAGGATTAGCTAGTGAATTTGAACTGCCTATCTTTGGGTTGCCAATGGTTAGAAATCTGGATTCAGGGGGATGGTGCTAGGGAGAAGGGTTTCTCTCTGGTGTTGAAGGAAGGTCCTTGTCCATTTTGAGCTTTTGCACTTGAATTATCTTCATGTGGCTTAGTATCTCTTTTCTTGAATCCCTGCTTGCTTCTTATCCCACAGTAGATTAACTCAGATATGAGCTATACTAACCCTGTCTCATTACCATAACAAAGACAGCCCATTTCCAAATGTGAGTATAATCCCAGGCTTGTGGTTAGGTGCCCTCCAGGCCACTCTAACTCATTGTAACCTATAAAGAACAGTTCAGAACCTTGCCCTATACTTAACCATCCTCATGATTTCTGCCAAGCTCAAGCCCATTGTTACAGTCACTGTGCCAATCTATCTTGTTATTTATTTGTTGTTTTTAATTTTAATCCATCTTGTTGAGGGTATTCCTCTTTTTCTCTCACCCTCTAACAGTCTCAGCATAATGTGTTTTTCCAAGGACTTGCTTCCTTTTCAGAACTTGCTCAAAATACTTGAGACGAAGTTTCACTGTCTTTGCTGCATCCTGGTTGCACTTCCTCCAAAGACAGATTTAATTTGTTTTCTTGGAAGTCCATGAGAAATTAAATACTCTTTTTCCCAACATGTCAATTCAAAGGCATCAATTCTTCTTTGGTCTTCCTTATTTATTGTCTAACTTTTGGGTGCAGAGGAAGTGATTGAAAAGTGCCATGATTAGATTGGGCAAACCTTAATCTTGAAAATAATGTTCTTTGGCACTTTAAAGAAGTCTTTGACTCCCAGCTTTCGCCATGCAAAACGTCTTTTGATTTCTTAACTGCTGCTACCACCATGCTAACTATTTATTCAAACAAAATGTGATTGTTTTGTTTTCTTGTTGAGATGTCTGCAGCTAGTGTTCCAAGTCCTTTTACTTTTAGCAAGCAAGATTGTGGCATCTGCATAATGCAGGTTGTGGATAAATCTTCCTCCAATCTTGATGCTACATTCCTTTTCATATAGTCCAGCCTCTCAAAAAATTTTATCAGCGTACATATTGAATAGGTGTGGAGAAAGGATACATCCCTGAGGCACACCTTTCTTAATTGTAAACCATGCAGTATTCCTTTTTTCTGTTCAAACGACAACTACTTTTTGATCTATGTCTAGCTTTTACATGAGCACAATTAAGTGTTCAGGAATTTTCATCCTCAAGGTTATCCACAATTTATTGTAATGCACAGAGAAGAATGTCTTTGGATAGTCAGTAAAACACAAAGAAGCATCATTCTGGTATTCTCTGCTGTTAGCCATGATCCATCATCAGCAATATTTCCAACACAAAATCTATATAACAGTGAAGTTGAATTTTTTGTTTCATTTTTTATTTGAATGAAAGTTTTATTTTGGTTTCATTCAGTCATTCATACACATTTTATAATTGATTAATTATAAGGGAGTTCTGGTGGCCTACTAATTTAAAAGATAAGCCACTCAGATTGGAAGGTTTTCAAAATGTGACTGGGAAGAACTGCCTTCCTAAAATAAAGTCTTCAATAATGACATGGATAGGAGTAAAGCTTTCACCCAGTGAAGGACCTTCATTTGCTGATAGGGCAAAATTCAACTGGAGGAGAAACAGCTTGAAACATCCATTAATTGAAGCATGGAATGTAAGAAGTATGAATCTAGGAAAATTGGAAGTTGTCAAAAATGAAACGGAACAAAAATATTGGCATCCCAGGCCTTACTGAGCTGAGATAGATTAATTTTGCCATTTTGAGTCAGATATGTGCCATTTTGTGCCAGAAATGACGCATTAAAGAGGAGTGGTGTGGCATTCATTGTCAAAAAAGTATTTTAAGATCCATTCTAAATGACAGTGCTATGAGTGAAGGGATACTATCTATATGCATACCAAAAAGTCCTATTACTACAACTGTACACATCCAACACTAAAACCAAAGATTAAGACATTGAAGACTTACCCCAAGAATGTGGCATCAGGATTGGAGGAAGACTCAACAACCTGTGTTATGCAGATGCCACAGCTTTGCTTGCTGAAATTGGGGAGGATATAAAATGCTCACTGCAGAGGACCTAGGATTACAGCCTTTGATATGGATTACATCTCATAATCAAGAAAACAGACCCTCACCACAGGACCAACAATCGGCATGATGATGGAGAAAGGATTGAAGCTGTCAATGATTTTATCTTCCTTGGATCAGCAGTCAATTTCCTTGGTAGCAGCAGTCAGGAAATCAGGAGACATACTACATTGGGCAAGTCTGCTGTCAGACTCCTCTTCAAAATGCTGAAGAGCAATGATTTCATTTTGAGGACTAAGGTGTGCTTGATTCAGGCCACAGTCTTCTCAATCACCTGCTATACATCAGAGCACTGGACAATGATTAAGGATGACAGAAGAAGAAGACTTGATGTCTTTGAGTTGTGGTGCTGGAGAAGAGTGCTGAATATCTCATAGATTTTCAGGAGAACAAACATATATGTCTGGGGAAAGTGCAGCAAGAATGCTCCTTGGAGGCAAAGATGGCAAAGCTTCATTTTTCATACATTGGATGTGTTACTAGGTGAATCTTTTCCTTAGAAAGGTATACATAATGCTTGGAAAGATGGAAGAGGTCAGTGAAGGACAGGAAGATCCCCCCTCCCTCACACCCACATGAGATGAGTTGACATTGTGACTTTAGCAATGAGCTTGAGTGTGTCAGATGAGGATGGCACAGGTTAGAGCAGGGACAAGTTGGCTCTTCATAGGTTGCTCTGAGTTGTACTTTATCGCACCTAACAGCAACAACAACCAACTTTTGCAGGGAGCTCTGGTGACTTAGTGGTAAAGTGTTGAACTGCCAACCCAAAGGCACACGATTCTTAACTAACCAGTCATTCCACAGGAGAAAGATGGGCAATCTCCTCCTGTGCAGTTAACTGCCTACAAAACCCACTAGAGGGTCAGCTGTGAGTCAGTTCTGACTTAACAGCTGGAAACAACCAATGTTTGCAGTCTGAAATTTGAAATTGATCATACATGCAATCAAGAGGCATTAGTAATAATTGGTCACTATAATGCAAAAATTGGAAACAAAGAACTGGTAGTTGGAAAATATGGCTTTGGTAATAGAAATGAGGCTGGAGATCACAAGATGGAATTCGATATAAAGAAAGATAGATTTCAGTGCAAATGCTTTTTTAAAAAAATACATAAGTGTATATGCACACCCATGTTTATCACAGCTTTGTTTACAATAGCAAAGAGTTGGAAGCAACCTAAGGGCCCATCAACAAATGAATGGATAGAGAAGCTGTGGTATATTCACAATGGAATACTACGCCGCATTGAAAAACAAGGAATTCATGCAATATTATTCAAAGTGGGTGACCCTGGAGGACATTATGCTT